TCACACAGGTGGATTTATGGGACATTTTGGCGTGGCTAAGACAATGAAAATAATGCAATTCTACTTCTTTTGGCCACACATGACGAAAGATGTAGAAAAAGATTGTGAAAGGTGTGTCACTTGCAAACATGCTAAGTCTAAAATCCAACACCATGGTCTGTATACTCCTTTATCCATTCCTTTGCATCCATGGCATGCAATTTCAATGGATTTTGTTTTTGGATTACTTAGAACTAAAACTAGAAAAGACTTGTGTTTGTTGTCGTTGATAGGTTTTCTAAAATGGCTCATTTTATTCCTTTCCATGAGACTGATGATGTTGTGAATTTTGCTAATTTGTTCTTAAAGGAAATGGTTAGACTTCATGGCAAGCCTAGGAAAATTGTGTCTGATAGAGATACCAAGTTTCTTAACTTCTTTTGGAAAATTTTGTGGTCTAAGATAGGAACTAAGCTGTGTTTCTCTACTACTTGTCATCCACAGTCTGAAGAACAAACTGAAGTTGTCAATAGAACATTGTCTACCCTGTTGTGTGCATTGGCTATGAAGAACCTTAGAACTTGGGAAGAATATTTACCTCATGTAGACTTCGCTTATAATCATGCTAAGCATTATGCATCTAAGTTCTCTCCTTTTGAAGTTGTCTATGGCTTCAATCCTTTGTCACCTTTGGATTTAATGGCTTTACCTTTGAGTGAAAGAGTTAGCTTGGATGGGAAAAAGAAAGCTGAACTTGTTAAGAAGATACATGAGAAGGCACATATCAACATAGAACACAATACCAGACTCTACACAAAGCAAGCTAACAAAGGACGAAAGTAAATGATCTTTGAAGAAGGAGACCTAGTTTGAATACATCTGAGAAAGGACAGATTTCCTAATGAAAGGAAATCCAAACTCATGCCTAGATTAGATGGTCCTTTCAAAGTCATCAAGAAGATCAACAATAACGCCTATTTATTGGACCTCCATGGTAAGTATAATGTGAGTTCAAGCTTCAGTATTACTGATTTGGTCCCTTATCATGCAGATGAAATGGATTTGAGGTCAAATCCTTCTTAAGTGGAAGAGGATGATGTGATCTTGAAAAGCAATGACACTGAAAAGATGGAACAGCATGAACAAGAGCCTAAAGAAGATGAAGACGGAGCCCTGGAGAAGCTTACACCTGAGGAGGGAAGAAATGAATAAGGATCTAAGTGTACCACTTTGTCCAGTAACTAGGTCCAAGAAAACAAGATTCCATCAAGTTCTTAACCAACTCTTATACACTATTCAGGGCAGTCTAGATTGTGCTTATCCAACCACACTGGTTGTGATTCAAGTTGTCTAAGACATTCATCAAGAGAGGTGTTGTGACTTGCACTCTTTTCTTTGGTTTGGTTTTGTCCCTTTGGATTTTGCCAAACTAAAGTTTTTAATGAGGCTTGGACACAATTTTATTACAATAGCCTCTTGATGAAACCATACCCATTTCTTTTCTTTATATTTTGGTCGAAATCTCAGTANGATTCAAGTTGTCTAAGACATTCATCAAGAGAGGTGTTGTGACTTGCACTCTTTTCTTTGGTTTGGTTTTGTCCCTTTGGATTTTGCCAAACTAAAGTTTTTAATGAGGCTTGGACACAATTTTATTACAATAGCCTCTTGATGAAACCATACCCATTTCTTTTCTTTATATTTTGGTCGAAATCTCAGTAAGAACTATAAAACCTTTTTCTATCAAAACCTTATCTGAATCTTGTTTGATCAAAGCTTGTCTAGTGTATTTTGGATCTTGATCCTTACATTACAAGCAAATCTTGATAGTCTGAGAGCTATTTCTGCAACTCTTAGAAGTATCAACTCAATCCACTATTTAGTTATCTACATCACCAAAGTGGGCATTTTGGAAGTTGCCTTCAGCACTTTGGAGCTATAGATTATTCTACAGTTTCAAAGTGGGCACTACGGAAACGTCTTGAGCACTTCAGAGTTCTAGGAAATTCACCACTTTCATCATCACAATCGTTGGAGAGCATTCAAGGACTTGATCCTCACACCTAGGATCATATCATTTTCTACATTTAAAACACGTAAATGTGTAAACAAATAAAGATGTTAGAACTATAAACTTTTACTAAAATATATAAATTTTTTATTATTGTTTAATAAGTTGGACCAGATGTGTTAAAATCTACAGAATTATATAACTCAATGTTTAAGAAAGTTTGATATATAACAATACTAGGGCCTGCCCGGGCTACTCCCGGATTTTTTGTTGAAACATTAATTATATATGTTGTATGTTATTTTGATATATAAATATTATAATATACTATAAAATATAAGTAGTTAGACAATTATATAATTATTATTAATTATTAATTCTTTTTTGTCTTTCAAATTTTAAAAATTTTAGATCTAAATTTTGTATGTCATAGAGTATCAGTATGTGTTTTGCGTAGAATGGTTGTGTATTATGTCTCGTCTCGACTTTTGTTTCTTTATTTGTTGTGTGCTATTATTTTATTTTCACTTTTTTTAATAAAATATTCTTTGATTATTTATTACTCATTGTTTACTGTTTGAATCTTTTTTATTTCTAAATTTGATCTTATTTACTTAAAATAGAAAGAAAATTTGGTGTGTGAATATTTTTTTTTTCTTAGGTTTAATAAAACGTAAAAAAAAAATATGATAATATTTTATTTTGTATTTCCAAACTTATAGACTTCTTTATTTATTTTGAATATATTTAAATATTCTGTAACGTTTACTTAACTATTAAATCTTTATTTAGATTTTTATTAAACACATGATAGAAACTTTTCATTAAATTCAAGTTATATTACATAGCATAATTAAATTTTAATTAGTCTGTTTTATATCTTATTAGTTCTTGGTTTTAAAATTATTTTCATTATGTATTAATTGTTAATTATTTTATATCATTGTGTATTATAGGTTAACCTTAAATTTGGTAGTAAAAAGGGAACCAAAAATCTGTGAGGTTCAGTATTTTTATTTTCATTGGTATAAATATAATTAAATGTATAAAGATTAATAGCGTAAATTGATTTATCCTCTTTCTCATGAATTTTATTTATTTTTAATTATAATTGTTTTTTAATTATATTATATATTTTCACTAAATGATTATTTTTATTATAATTATCATAACTTTATTTATTATAATTATAAATTTTTTAATTATATTATATATTTTCACTAAATGATTATTTTTTAACAGAAATATTAATGTCAATATTTTTTTGGTTTCTTTAAAAATAAATATTAGTTATAATGATTTAGAAGTTATTAAATTGTTTGAAAGTTTCGATGGTTGTATTTAGAGTTCACTTCATGTTTGTGTGTGACAAGTTATATGGATCACTGTTATATAGTTGTGTATTTTTGCAAGTTCTGTTCTCGAGCCTATGGTATTATGTGCTATTTTTTCTCCAACTTATTCTTAAAAACTATCAATCAAGTAGAAATATATTTATTCTCATTTACTTTTTTATTACTCTTTCAAAAGAGATAAACGCACACTTATCGTTGTGTTAGATATAGTGAACGTAACATTATTTTCTCATTTTCTTTCTCTTTTTTATTTTATTTTTTTTCTGATTCTATTTGATAGGAAAAAACTGTGAGATCTTAGCAGCCACTTAAGTGGTGTTATGAGGTGAAATATTCTGAGGTAGAATGGTGTTAAGCTAATGACATATTATTTTGTCAGGTTATACGCCTGATATTTAAATTTATTTTGTCTTCATCTTGTGTGTATTTGTTTCAAGATAATTGATTTTTATTTAGTGTTTACTTTGTCTATAATAAAATGAATAACATGTTCACTTAAACATGTTCACTTAGTACATTTCACCATCTCTATCAAAATTTAATGTCCGTTTATATTTTGGGCATTTTTATTTTTATCTACTGTCAAACATATTTTACTATATTATATTACTTTTAGTATTATAATATTTTATGTTTTGTTTGTTTTTCATAAAAGCACATAGTTATTTTTATGCGTCCGATTATTTTTTATACGCAGTAATTAATATAAGTTCAGTGTGTATACAATGTCTTTTTTAACAACAACATACAATATAATTTATGTGGCAATCTTTGTATTTGTTTGATGTATTTATTCCTTTTGATTTAATTTATATTCTGATTTTTTCTGTATATTTAATGCATATTAATTCATAAGGTTCTATATATATATATATATATATATATATATATATATATTCAAATTTAGTGAGCATATGATTTTTCTTAATTTATTGAAAATAAGAATAACATTAAATTTCACTATTTATATTTTTATTTTATTATATAAATAATTTCTAACATTTCTGAATGTTGATAAAATAAAATACCTAAGAATATAAATTATGGATTACTTTCAGCTTTATACATTTTTTAATTCATGGATACAATGATTTATTTTAATATATTTTTTGTCTCAAAATAAAAAAAAATCATACTTTTTAAAAAGAATTGATAAATGCATTCACATAAAATAAAATTTTGTTAATATTAAACATTATTTTTTTGTGTAAGAATAAATATTGCATGCCATGTTCCACTTTCTCTTCATCTTATTTAGTGGCATGGCATCATAAGAGGGAAGAAAACTCTTCTTTTATATAATAAGATTTTTTTAATTCATGGATACAATGATTTATTTTAATATATTTTTGTCTCAAAATAAAAAAATTCATACTTTTTAAAAAGAATTGATAAATGCATTCACATAAAATAAATTTTTGTTAATATTAAACATTAATTTTTTGTGTAAAAATAAATATTGCATGCCATGTGTCACTTTCTCTTCATCTTATTTAGTGACATGGCATCATAAGAGGGAAGAAAACTCTTCTTTACATAATAAGATACTGAGTTAAATGGTTTTCTTGGACCATGTAAAAAAAATGGAATAAAAATAGAATTGAAACGAATGAATACATTACAAAGCTTTATTGGCTGGCTCACGTCTCAAAACAATGGATCACTTGGAACAGATCAAGTCACTACAGTGATTAGTATTCATTTGGTTAGAATTGGTTTAGGATAATAATTTGATCTGAAGATTTTTTATTTTTTATTTTGACTAACCACCGTAAGTTATTGTTACGTTTGTTAGAGTTTGCACAGTGGAAGAATGAAGAATATATTTTTCTTGTTGTAAAGACGCTTTAAGGACAAGAAAGAGTCTCGAGATAGGTTGCTTCCATGTTCAGATCCGGGTCCTAGGGACGAGAATGGTGATCAGAGAAGTAGACATATATTGCATCTCATGGAGGCTAACAAGGAGGAAGCTGTAGATAGCTTTGAGGTTAAAATGAAAGACAACAATGTCGAATGCTATTAGTATTGTTGGACGTGTGAAGAAGAATATACAGAACTTAGAGAAGTTATTGGTGTAAAGTCGTGTCAGATTAAAAGCTGCCAGTATAATAAGAATGGAGGTTTTGGAAAGAAGTAGAATGGTTGGGATGAGAAGAGGAAGATGAAGAAGAGGGGTGACCAGCTTTGATGCTAGCAAAGTCATCAGAGTCGGTTTCAGACAAGCTTTGACGGCGGTCTAGGGTTTTTCTATATATGTCACTAGATTAGGAAAATGTTGTTAACATCATTTGTGTAATATAGTTATTTGGATTGATAAAAAAACTGGACTGGCATTATGAAAACCTAAATAATTTGATGGTTTGATCACATGTTATTTAGTGTGTGGGCACATCTATTATATTAAAAGAGAAGTCATGACTCACTTCATGTGTGATATTTTAGTTTGGACCATCTTTAGAGTTTTATAAAATTTTACATAACATTATAATATCTTTTCATATCTTTAATTTTTTGTTTGAAATACAAATAAATAGTTTTAAGAAAATTCTAACAAAATCTTTTAAAATCTTTTTCAAGATATAGTTTCAAAAATTATTTGATTAAAATCTTAATATCATAGAATATAATTAAAATTTTAATTCATTTTTAATTTATAAACAAAAAATTGAAATTATGTAAAATACTTTTAACAATATCCCAAAATTTTGTTTATGTATTATGTAGGTCCAACTTAATTAATTTTTACATAGATTTCAAATTTAGAAATAAAACAAAATATATAAATTAGTAATCTTACATAATAATTAAATTATTACAAANAAAAATTGAAATTATGTAAAATACTTTTAACAATATCCCAAAATTTTGTTTATGTATTATGTAGGTCCAACTTAATTAATTTTTACATAGATTTCAAATTTAGAAATAAAACAAAATATATAAATTAGTAATCTTACATAATAATTAAATTATTACAAAAATACAAATTTATAAATTTTATATTAATAATATTATAAGTTACATAAAAATGATTATAAATTGGATAGCATAAATAATCAAATTATATTTATTTATTGATAAATTTTATTATATAATTTCAAATATTTTCGTATTAAAATACCCGCACGGTTGTGCGGGTCGAAATCTAGCTATCATTTACAAGATCAATTACATTTTTGATTTTAATTATAAATGTATTTTTAATGATTAACTATTTCTCACAATTTTTAGCAATAAAACTTCACTAACATGATTAATTTTTAAAAAATTTACAATATACCATCATTACCTAGTAAAATGCATTAAAATATTAAAAAATATATTCTTGAAACATTTTTGTTAGGTCATGGATGTTTTGTAACGAAAGGAATAATATTTATTAACTCTGTATCTAAGAAATAATTAAATAATTTTATAAAAGCTAATAAACTTATGTCTCTTAATTATTGGATACAATATTTCATTACCATTGTTGATACAGTTTTGGCATTTATAGTCTGACGTTCAGTAGAAAATTAATATAACTTTTTGTTATTTGACTCCCCACAAAACAAAATCAGAAATATATGTGTAATATGCGTCAGAATCTATAAAAATATACCTAATTTTTTGGTATTTTTAATCCCTATTTAACATATAGTTAATTAATTTTATTAAAGATAATAAACTTACTTATCATTAGGTGGTTGGAAATTTTTTTCGTTAAAATTATTTATATATTTATTTTGGATTTGTAGACACATGTTTAGTTTAAAATTAGTTAATACAGGGTTTGTAAGACAATCTTTTCTAACATAAATGATAAGGAATAATTGTTTTAGATAACTTAAAAATTACTTATGTTTAAATAAAATGTTAAGCAATAAATCAAAACAAATAATCTAAGAATATATGTAAATTAATATTTCTTAAAACAATAGAAAACTTAATAAAGTTAAATATAAGAAATATATATATATATAACAAGGAAGGAAATTGAGAAAAGTTTATGTTTAGTTGTGCAAAACTCATTAATTATTATTAAGTTGAGATTTTTTTCCTTATCACATGATTAGAGAATCAGATTTAGTATAACTATATACAGATAAACTTCCTTCTGAAATAAAATATGTATATAATTGCATATAACATTAAACACATATGAATCATATATGGTATTTTTTTTTATTGGATAATATCCTATGAATTGGTTTTCTGGTTAAAAGATTTTATTTTTCCTTATGTGAGAATATATGTGTTAAGATAATAGTTTTTCTAATCTCTGTTTAATATGTCTGAATGTGTATATATAAGTGTTTTAGGCTTTCAAAAATATTTTATGCTGCAAAAATTTCGTAATTGGTCACTTTTGCCATTTCAAATATAAGAAGATGAATTGCTTGTGTTCGCCTTCACAAAAAAACATCACTATTAGGTAAGCATAATTTTTATTGTGTAACATGTTTAAGAAAATTATGTTTACAACTCAATATTCGTCGACATTTTCTAGTACACTGGGTGTGGAATTGAAGATACCAGAGTGTAACAAATGCGAGAAAGGCATGATTAATGTTATTTACAACTTCAAAGGTAGAATCATATTTATATTTATTTTATTTTTTTGTCAACATATTTCATTATCATAGTTTAAATATATAAAATTGACGATAATATGATGGTGCATTGGAACATTTATGTATGCTGTGTATATGAATATTTATTAGGAGTTAACTCTTTTACGACGGATAAAGAAAATCAAAAGATTGCGGTTTTTGGAAGTTTTAACCTGGAGAAGTTGTTGAAAAAACTCAAAAAAGTAACAGGCGGCAAAGAAGTGGAGGTTGTGAAGGAAGAAGATAAAAATCCTGAACCTGAAATAGTTGAGATTGTTAAAGAAGAAAATGAAGAAACCGAAGTGGTTCAAGAAGTTGAAGCAGAAAAGGATGCACAACCTCAAGTGGTTTTTGAACCAAACAGTGATGAGCAAAAGGAAATGGAGAAGTACATGATATTCAGTGACGAAAACCCTAATGCCAAGTGTATGATTTCGTAAGCGTAGTTTGTAAAACAAAAAAGCAGACTTTTCCAAAGGTTTTTGGCATTATGTTTTATTTCATTTAATATCTAAATCCGTAAGAAAAATTTTAGTGTCGAGAGTTTCTAAAATGACAAAGATTGTATCTCTTGTTAATTTATTCCCGTCTTATTGTTTAAACTAGGTAAAAATCTGGGTAATATCACACGAAAACTCATTTTATAAAAATATATACTATATTTATAGCTTATTATTGATATAAATTACTTTTTTTTTCTTTTGAAGTGGTCCATGGGGCATAATATAAATTGCATGCGTCTATATTTATTTACAGACTAGTGGTTTGGTCCGTGCTTTGCGCTGGTTGTTACTTTGGGTTATTTGTTTATTTGTTTGTATCAGACCAAGCAAAGGGAAAGATGAATAAGAAGATTGGCACAAGAAGAAGAGTGTTGGCACGATGTTTCTTTAGAAGAGTGTTGGCACAAGAAGAAGAGTGTTGGCACGATCTTTCCCAAGCAAAGGGAAAGATGAATAAGAAGATTGGCACAAGAAGAAGAGTGTTGGCACGATGTTTCTTTAGGAGCTTGGCTTATCGGGATTGAAGTTAAACATATTGATGATAGAAGATTATGATGTGGCACTCATCCTAGTAAGATTTGGATCATTTTCTCCTGATTACACAAACACAGAACATGTTTACATATTTATAAGAAAGATGAAATCTGAGGGATTGGTATAGCTAGTGATGTTATTTCCACAACAGTTATTTTCTCTGATGAGATTTTATCACCGTACACCATCAATGCATTAAGATCAGCGTCCGTAATCCTCTGAAAGAAATTAACTGAATATAATTAATCAACTGTCTGTGTATATTCTTAAAATAAGCATATAGTATCCCTTTTAATATCCTCTAAACTATATGCAAAATGATTTACTTCTGTGTTATGATGACTTTCATTCTAAAAAACGACATGACGTTGAAAATATATGACATAACATCAATTTATTTACGACATGTATAACAAATCTTATGTCACAATTAAAATAATTTTTCTATATAAATGATTATTCTTGAAAAAAAGAATTATACTAATAACTTATTTATCGTCATTAAAAATATATATATATATATATATATATATATATATCACATTAATAAAAGGTAAAATAAATATAATTATAAATTTACAATAACTTATATATCATATATTGTATATATATATATATATATATTTATCAAAATTAATTGTAAGTCTTAAAAGCAATACTAACCAAATAAAAGTTTTGTTAATAGTTAAATGAAGGAAATGTTATTTAAATTTGTTGGTGCATCAGGTAAATTAACAAAATTTTGTTACCAGATTAACGTATTTTATTAAAAATAAAGTAAATCTATAATTTATTAGAATTTACAGAGAAATAACTAATAAGTATTAAAATAAAAAAAATACTCTTATAAAATGTAGTCTTAAAGCTATTGAAGTTTAAATAAAATAAAATTGAAATAGATAAACCCAATCAAAAGAAACAAGAGTACATATATATTTTTCAAACCTATGAACTTAAAATATTAAAAATTGCCAAAATGTAAACTAATTTTTCCTTTTAAAATGAATTAAATTGTATTAAATAGTATTCAGAAGAAAAATGATAAAGAGTTGGAGGGAGGGATGATCTATTGGTTTAGTACTAGAGTTCGAAGTTGTTTTGCCTTGTTTTTGAACTTTGAGTTTTGCTTTGGAAACCTGATTGTAAGTAGAAAGAGAGATAAGTTTTTCATTTAGCAAAGTAACACTTGATGTAACAAGATCATTTTTTAATTAAATTTAACATTTAATTCAAAAAAACTTTAAAATAATTACTTCTTCGCATGACACAAGTAAACTCCTATATCATATATGTGTGCATGAAAATACATAACGTTAAAAAAAATTGAAACCTTTTTCTGCTTGGTTAACTCCCTGAACCGTGAGAAGATGTTGTTGAATTTCTGATCACTGATTTCATATCCCAACTGAGAACAGACAAACAACATATAAGTAATATATTATATACATAACAGTAATTATGCTCATAAACTTAGCACTAATCTCTTATTTCATATATATATATATATATATATATATGTGTGTGTGTGTGTGTGAATGCATGTGATCATTATATAAAAACTACGAAATCACAATTAGTGATACCTTTCTTAGCCGATCTTTCACAGCATGACGTCCACTGCATTCATATTTACATCATTGTTTATATATATATATATATATATATTTATTTATTTATTTATTTATTTATTTATTTATTCAGAAAAAGGCACGTAACTTTGGTTTTGTAAAACTAAGAAAATATCACATAGTAGAAAAATAGTTACCTAAGCTTTCCAAGAACAATACCGGAATCTTGAGATTTTTCGACCCCGATGTCTTCTGGTGAGAAGATTTCATATGTACTCCGATATTTTAACATTCCATCCTACAAAATGTTATGAGTTTTAAGAGTATCCTTTGTATAGTAAAACAATCTGACATGTATATTTAATAGTCATTTTGTTAAAAATGGAACCTGGTGAATGCCGCTCTCATGAACAAAACAATTGGCGCCAACTATGGGTTTATGTGGTTGAACATATAACCCAGTATACTCTTGAACCTGCTCAAAAGAAATTAGCATTAGTATTTAATTACATACATATTGTGTATATACAAAAAGTTACCATCTTGCTGGTAGCCATAATATGGCATGTGTTAATTCTTGTGTAAACACCATCCATCACATGTGCTCCACGACATTTCAAAGCCATTACAACCTGCATACCAAAGAAATATTCATGATGATGAAGATGATCATTATGGTAATGAGTATGGTACCTCCTCAAGTGACGCATTCCCACTTCTTTCACCTATTCCGTTGACCGTTACTTCTACTTGTTTTGCTCCCGCACATACACCCTAAGATAAATATGCTTATACTTTGTCACCTTGAGAATATATATTGTATGGCGATTGTCTTAGTTAAACTAACAAAAAGAGTTAATTACGTACGGTGATTGTCTTAAACACAAGAAAAAAAATTAATTACGTACGGCGATTGTGTTGGCGGTAGCAAGACCAAGGTCGTTGTGACAATGAAGGCTTAAGACAACATCATCGATTCCAGGAGTGTTTGCTTTGAGATAGGTTACGATTTCCCCGAATTCTTGCGGGATGTTGTTCCCTACCGTGTCCGCAAGGGTCACCGTGGTTGCGCCCTCTTTTATCGCTTCTCCGATAATCTTGCATAGAAAAGCCTTCTCTGATCTAAATCACACACACTAGTATTTCAAAATCTATATATTACATGATCCACTGCCGGCTCAAGATTATCATGGCCCTTGGGTAAAATATTTTTTAACAAATATAACTATATATAAATTAATAATATTAGGATTACACCAAAACTATATTTTTAATTAATTTATAGAAATTATTAATTTATCGATATATTAATTGAATCAAAAATCAATTTGGAACTATAAAGTTATATTATTTTATAAAAAAATTTAGTGTATATTAATTTATAAAGTATTAATTTAAAAAGGTTATACTATATATATATATTTATATTATAACATTATTTGAGAAGTAAATTTGCTTAGTTGTCATGTTCTCCTTAATTTTAGGTAAATTTGATTATTTACCTTATTTAAATAATTTCATATATAATTTATTATTTAATAAAAACGAATTTATATGAATATAGCATATTTTTTAAAAAAAAAAGATAATTCTTGTGAATTATGTTGTTATCTTGAACAATATTTTTATATATAAAACTTAAAATTTAAATTAAGATATAAAATTATTATATTTATTATATAACTAAAACAAATTTATATTAATAATTTTATCTTTTTCTAAAATAAGATAATTCTTATGTAATATGTTGTTATCTTGAAAATATATTTTTCTACTAGAAATTAAGATATAAAATTTGTAATTGTTCTATAGTTAAAATAAATTTACACTAATAATATTATACTTTTAGAAAATAAGATAATTTTTATTTATTATGTTGTCATCTTGAAAATATATTTTTATATTATATAATTTAAAATTAAAATAGAAAATTATCTATTATAAATTAAATATAAATCATCACTCAAGCAAAATTATTTAATAAGTGAATTTGTTGATTCGTTAAGTTCTACATGATTTTAAGTAATTTAATTATTTGTCATCATTTCTACAATCTTATATAATTAAAACGAATTTATCATATTATATTTTTAGAAAATAAATAGCTTATGCATTATATTGCTATTTTAAAAAAAAATCTATTATAAAATTTAAAATTAAGATATAAAAAATTATATTTAAATATGAATTAAGTAAAAAATGTATAAATATTATAATTAAATGTAAATCAAGTAAAAAATTATAGAAATATATTCTTTTAAATATTTCTGATGTTTTAGTTTTGTCATTTATAATTATTTGATGTTTGATTAGTAATTTCTGAAAATATAAGTAATAAATTAATGAAACATCAACTAATAAATATTCGTAAGAGAATTATGCCCGCAAGTGCGGGCTAAACACCTAGTATATATATATAAGCAATCTCCATAAGTCAGCTAAAAACATTATTAGATTAGGACAGAGCCCTTAGATTTAGGAAGCCCAATCTAAACTAAAAATCTATTTATTTTAATTTTAGATTGATAGTATTTTCATAAATTTTTCTTTTAGCAAAAGTTTAGCTTGAATTATATACTCTATTTGTTATCAAAATATATTTAAATAAAAATTATTAGTTTCAATAACATTACAAGAATAATTGTTTTCCTTAATTTACTTTCTTCATTTTAATTATAATAACAGAAAATAAATTATTTTCTATTAATTTATCCATAATAAAACGTATTTTTGTTTTAAAAAACTACATTTACACTTTATACATAACTATATATATGAATAAAAAATATGTAAACTAGGGGACATTCAAATGGTTCAAAATATACCATTAAACCCGGTTCTGAGATATATGTATATATGACCTAGATTGTTTTTTTGGACAAAATATGACCTAGATTGTTCTAGCGTTCAGATTAATTTTACGTTTGTTTTGCATGCAAGAGTTAGTTATGAAAAAAATTGAATACAACATTTTAAATCATACATTCTTGTAAAATATAAATGCAAGTGTAAACATAAAAGATTACTAGCAAATATTTTGTACCGAAAAATCAAACGAACAGAAACAAATAATAACTGAGATATTTATATATATAGATAGTTAGCCCTTTCTCAAATAATAATAAATAATAATAAAGGTTTTTAGATATGGACCTGCCGCCGTCCTCGCAACCAAATTGGATGTCACGAAAGCCTATTCTTTTAGCGAACCTAATACCACTTTTGGCCATCTCGATCACTTGTTCTTTAGTCCTTTTCAACTTATATTTCATGTGAATGTCACTTGTACATATGAATATGAATATCCTCGGCCTCTTCGCGTACTTCAACGCCTCCCAAGCAGCCTCGATGTCTTCATGTTTGCATCGTGCAATGACGCATATTACCGGGACGTAACCTGTTTCCTCATCAACCTAAGCAAGACAAGAATATAGTTGTTTACTATGCGAAGTCACAAAGAATAAAGGTTACTTAGCTATATATAATAAGTGACTCAACGTAGCAATTGGCCATGTGACATTATAAGTGATCCCCCTCAACCTCAATGATACGATTCTACTTTTTTTTTAACTGATAAAGGTAAAGAGACGAGAAAGAAAAAGACAACTTAAAATGTAGTAATATATTAAATAGTGGATTGAAGTAAAAAAGAAAATGGTACGGGGCTTTTTAATTATATATGTGGATAGACTGGAAAGAAATAGTGGTGGATATGAATACAATATCTTAGTTATTTTTTTTTTTTAACTTAGCTTATCTTAGTTATTTGTTATCTGATATGTTTTGTCTAGATAATCAGTTATTTGATTTAATTCATAGGTATCAGATATTTGTTGTTCCAGTATCACAGTTTTTTTTATATCCTTAATTGAATATCCGATTATAATCGTACAAATAAAAAATATATTAAAACTCAAATAGTATAAAATAGTGTTCATTATAAATATTTATAAGTTATTTACTTTCTGAAACTTTAATAACTAAAGTAATCAATCTAATAAAATTATATTGTAAAACTTACATAAAATGCAATAATTATATAATTTATAGATATATGTATATAACGGATCGAATATCCATTTCTAAAAGTATTTAGTATTTGTGATTTATTTTGTTTTTACAGATATTGTATATTAGTGTTTGATTCACTTCGTAGAATTACGAATCTCTGAATTTTCAGTTTGAATCAAAACAGATAACAAATCAAATAAATTTTACTAATATTTTGCACACCCATAGATAGAAACATGCTTTCAACCTTTATAAAATAAATATGTGTAGCTAATTGTAAAGGATTGGTTTCCTTGTATCCTGACTTCTAATCAGTTTGTGTAAAAAAGTAAAGTTTTAAATCAGAATTTAATATATTAATTTCAAGTCTATGAAAGATATATGATCTAAAAGTTTGGAAATTCCATAATAACCAGACATATATTTGCGGCCAGTTGTTTTATAAGATAATTTGTTTAGTTACTTCTCATTTACGTGAAACAGATTCCTTTTGAAAGAGTTAGATGGTTGGGACTTTTTAATTCATTGTATAAAACTAACTAATAAGTTCATAATTTCTTTTTCTCAGTCCATAGAATTTTTCAGGACCTCCTGATCTGCATCTCGATGTGGGTTTAATTTCGTTCCAGAAATTTGACTTGGAAATTGCAAATGAAAACTTAAGTGGTTTAAAAAAAATCTTAAGTGGTTATTTTTCAAAAGGATAGATGAAATAAGAGGAATAGTTGTTTTAGAATTAAGAATTTTTTTTTTGGGAAAAAATTACAACTAAATTATTAGTGCAATAATGAATTCCATTCATGATTCCACACATTTATATAAGTTTGAATATGACATAAATGATAATTCTAAGAAAACTTTGTTTATTATTCAGAAAATAAAATATATAGAATTGTTTTTTATTTTGTTGTTCACTATAACTGGCTAATTTAATTTGGAAACTAATAAAATAAGATGATATATTTAGATAAATTTATCCCACAAAAACTCATCCCCTAGCAGCTTTAGAACCCACAAATTTGTGAACTTTGGACACATTCAGAGTGTATAATATATACGTATTTTGAATATAAAATATTTATATTATAATTTTTAAGTTCAGGAAATAAAGGTATAATTAATTAACCTCGTTCCCAACGGTCTTGGCGATGGTTTTAACGGCTTCTAACTCTTCCTCAGACGACGCCGGAAAACCGACATCCATGACGTCTACTCGGAGTTTAGCGAGTTGCCGGGCAATCTCTAGCTTCTGCAGTGGAGTAAGGGCTCCACCTGGAGATTGCTCGCCATCACGGAGCGTCGTGTCCAATATTCTCACATAATTCTTGTCGGGGAGCTTATTAGGTATGTACTCTGGCCACCGTTCCACGACGGGTTTGAGGTCACTACCACTACTTGCCACCTTTTCAGACACAGAGGAGTAACATGAGATGAACAAGGTTGGTCTGTTGTGCTGACAGGTTTGGCGAAGTGAGGGCAGGGAAGATCGGATGGGTAACACTGACCGGACAACCACCGTGGAACCGGTGGTCGGGATCATAGTGGAGTATGTCAGAAGTGACGAAGCCATTACAATGGAGTTGAAGAGAACGAGAGAAAGAGAGATTTGAAGAAGATATAGTGAGGAAAACTGTTTCGTGATGAGATTTGAACATGTACATTTATAGGTGGAAAATCTATTTATCCAACTCTTCGATTTATATGATTAAAAACTTTGTTATCTAGTTAGATAAGAAAATATATAACATTTTGTTTATGAAATCAAATATTTATATGCCCTTAGCATTTTAAAACTAAAACGATCTACAATACTATTCTTATACATATTCTACTGTTTAATTGTATATTTGATTAATTAATATTTTATTAGCATTACCTGTCAATAAACGTTTTATATGCATTTTTTTTTCTTTACGGCATCTCCATTATATTTTTCATGTTAATATATAAAATTGTTACTTAAAAGAAGAAAATAAAATTAAAAATTAGATGGATATTTTAACAGGGGATACATTCATTTTAAAGTCTCTTATTTCTCAGATGATTTTTCCAATTTTTATGGTATTCTTCCAACTTTTTTTTCCTTTCACTGTTGTGATACTAGACTTATTAGTTGAAGACTATCTTTATTACTAGTTTCTCACAATATATCCCACCCATAAAATTCGAAAAAATAATAGAAAAGAGAAAACGGATTAGATGAATGTTTTACTTGAGAACTTTACAAATACTCTGACACACATGCCTTACATGAGTAGTCCAGATAAATTTAGTAATATAAAAATTAGTGATGTCATATAAACACATTAAAGATACTAGTTACACATCAAAGAGATGTTTTGAGGTATCTTATCAATGGAGATGCTTTAAGAAACTTCCAAAATGAAAATGTACTAAACTAATTTCTCAGTTGTGTTTACAAGGTTTTAGACACTTATCTAACTCATAGTATTTTATTGATAATTTCAACATTCTAATAGTGTAAGTCCGACCGTCGACTGTTGACAATGTTAACCACACATAATTAAGCTATTATTAACTTGCAAATCGACCACTAAATATGTGGAAGTTTTATCTTTAGGTGTGTTTCATTAATCGTCCACATGCATATAAAGTGAACACCGTTAATCGACCAGATGCATGTTAATTAATTTCCAACTAGTCGATGAGATAATGCGACTATACTACATATGGTAATGTGCATGCAATCTACCACATGAAAGATAAATTAAGTACTCAACTTGTTAATACAATACTTCTGACAGCATTGGGATTTTAAACTAGTTGGTTATGTTTGTTAATCAAATTAAACGTATGCTGATTAAAACTATATAGGTTATCTACTTATCGTCCTTATAAAATTAGGTACCTATGGAAATAACTTTATCCACTCCGCTACACACCCAAAGGGCATATAAGCCATGTTCGTTTGGTTGCCGCATGTTTCGGCGACAGCGGCAGCGGTAGCGTCGGCGGCAGTGTCAGTGTTAATGACGACAGTTGTTGTTCGTTTAGCAGATGCTGATGCTGCCACTGTCGCTGTCACTATCGCTGCCGTTGCCGCAAATTGTTGTTCGTTTATAAGACGCAGGTAGTTGACGCAGCCGCAAACGCCGATGCATGAAACAGATTTTTGGATTGTTCGTTTGACAGACGCTGCGGCTATCTTCAATTTTTCATATTTTTTTATAAAATTTTGTAAAATTGATTTAAATAAATAAAAATATAGTTTAAATATATTTACATCCATTAAAAATATTATGTTCACTTGGTAATAATTTTTTGGTCAATTATACAAATGTAACAATATTTTTTTTACATCATAAGCTAAATCAGAAAAAAAAAATACTTCAAAATATGTATCATAATAAAAGCTAAATATTACATAAGTTGGTTTTAAAAAAAAAAATACATCAAGTTTTAAATATCGCATTTATATGATAATCAAAGTTGTAAGCAAAAGAAACTAAATCATTTACACAAACATTTAACAACCGTAAACGACCTCTACCATATTCATTTGTGATGTTATCACGCAAATCTTTCATCGCTCTATCACCTGTTGGCTCATATACAATATTTCCAATATCACCACCACCTCCACCACCACCATCATCATCATCACCATCATCATCATCATCATCATCATCACCGTCACTATCAGCTTAAAGATCAAGTGGCAAGAGAGAAAGCTTAATAAATATGATATTCAAGAAAATACATAATGATGATCAAGTGGCAAAAGGATGTTTTGTACCTCAAGCTTTGATTTAAAACAAGGTGATTAAAGGCTTGCCTCAGCTTTACAACCACCGGTTCCTGTTGTGTTCTTCAGAATCTGCATGTACCCAAAAACAAACCAAAACTTGTTAAACACACATAAGAAAAAACTGAAAAAAAAACTTTGCATTCTCATCTACTCCACCAGTTGAACAGCAAAACCATAAACATAACAAGAACCAAGCATCCATCTAGATCACAGTGAACAAGCTATTCCAAGAACCATTGAAGTAACTACATATATTTTTGAATTAATCTACTTGAGAGTCATTTCAGAGAACATATTAGGGAGGTCGCTTCTCTCACCGAGTAGAGTCTCTCACCGTAATCTTCCTCGTTAGAGAAGAGTGAGAGCTGAGGAGAGTCTGAGACTGAGAGAGCTCGGAATGGTTTTGCAGAGAAGAGAGCTCAAGATGAGGAGCCTGCAAAAAAGACAAAAAGAATAACCTCATGAGCTTGAGACAAGAGAGCTTGAGACAAGAGAGCTTGATACACATCTTTTGTCATCTTAAATGAATCATCAACATACGTACACAAACTCTATCTAAACATGCTCTAGCCTCGTCAAAACCAGAAGATAAAACTCATCAACGATGCTCTAGACTAAACCCAAATGCTTTAGAACAGAGACATATCTCAACGAGAAAAGGAGAAGAGAGAGCTCGGAGAAGAGAGCTTCGAGATGAGTTGAGATGAGCTCGGAGATGGGTTTTCTTCAGAGAAGAGATCGTGACGGAGAGAGCTTGAGATGGTGAGAGCTCGTGACGGAGAGAGCTTGAGATGGTGAGAGCTCGTGACGGAGAGAGCTTGAGATGGTGAGAGCACGAGATGGAGAGAGCTTGAGATGGTGAGAGATAGAGAGAGAGCTTGAGATGGTGTGAGCACGAGATGGAGGGAGCTCGAGATCTCGAGAGATGATGGAGATCGAGGGAGAAACGAGAGAGATGGAGAAGAAAGAAGCTGCGTCAAAGGGATGCGGCTGCGTCACTTTTAGGTTTAGGTTTTGTGTAAATACTCTAATTTATTAAGGGTAAAACAGTAAATTACCTTATTGGCCGCATGTTTTAGGTCGCGGACGCAGGTTTTATCGGCGTCAACCGCAAGACGCGGCGTTCGGACGCGGCGTCAGACGCAGGTAGATGCGTCAACCAAACGAACACGATTCAAAAAAAAAAGTTGACATAGCCGCAGACGCACCTACCTGCGACGACCAAATGAACAGGCCTATACTAGATCTGGAAATTGGTACTTTATATATAAGAAAGAAAGAAACAGTGAATTACAGCTAGAAATCCAAAAAGCACATCGATTTTGATTATTTTATCACAAAATATATTTGCAGCAGTTGATCTTCATCGTTAGATTGATAAATAACAAGATTGGATTAAGACTAATGCATTATATAAAGGGCCTATCATCCATAATTCAACCTTTAATGACGTATGGTAGGATTGGTCGGGCACCCTACGTCACTTTCGATAAAGATATGCTAGTGTTCAAACTTTAGTCTAAAAGCAATTCAATATTACTACCAATGTTTTATTTAGAGAATTTGCACTCTTACACATACAATTTGCCATATTTAATAATCTACCTAAACACACCATTGGGCAATGTCCTTTTCTTTTCATTTTGCTCATTCCATCATCACTTTTTCATGGTGTTTTACCAAAAAGAAAAATGTTTTATTTATACGTTTTTACCAAACAATATTTTATTTATGTGTTTTACCAAAAAATTGTTGATACAACATACTTTTGTTTGTCTTGACATGGTCATGCTACGTTTTGTTCTCATGTTCAAATGTAGACTGAAAATGTTCATATCCATAACCCTACTTAGCTTTATAGTTTTGGTTCTTGCCAATTCTACATGAGAAACGTTAGATAAAATCAACACTTGACATTCAGTAAAATCGACAAGCTGCCGATATCAAATGTTAGAGACATTCAGGATTGTTACTATCTTGGAAAATTTATACATGGTGGACTTTTTATATGCAAATCCTTGACAGCTTCATTGACATATTCGCAACAAAAACTTTAATTTCTAGCCATACAGTTACATCTTTGGTAGGTTCATGGTGGACTTTTTATATGCAAATCCTTGACAGCTTCATTGACATATTCACAACAAAGACTTTAATTTCTAGCCATACAGTTACATCTTTGGTAGGTTCAGTATGGATCGGGGTATTGTTTTTTTTATTTATTTGAAATTTTGAATTTCTACTGAAGACAATACCCCAACCTAAATGTTTATAGAAGAAGCTAAATGCTTACCTAAATATTCATGAAAATACAACTCTTCAAACATCATCAAGCTTCTCCGCATGGATTATATTCTGAAGTCATTGTTTTGTCCAAATGAGTGCTTTAATCATATATGGTGTCAGACAACTACGAAATGGATCTAAAATTCTACCATTTGTTCTGAATGCCGACTATGAAACAACATAAGAGATTTCAACGAAAATCACATCCTTTGCCAGTTTTAACAAGATTGGATACTTAGCGTAATTACACCTCCACTATGTCAGAAAATTCTAGTCAAAATTGTTTAGCTTCTTGGAAGAGTCCTTTCCATCAAGTAAATGTCAAGCTCACTAGTAGTTTATTCATTTACAGCCTCTAAAACCATCTCTGAATACAAAGAATCCCTTCCCTCATACTCCTCATCGTCATTACACACCTCAAACATGCAATCTCACTAATGTTCCAAGACTATCACCTTGAGATGGTGAACTCAGCTTCATCACATACTCCTCATACAACTTTTAAATCAACTCTCTAATTGATGTTTCGAGATGAGAACTCCCCACACTATACATACT